CAATTCACCGCAATTCCCCCGATATATTCACCCGATATATTCCCCGATATATTCCCCCGATATTTTCCCCCGATATATTCCCCCGATATATTCCCCCGATATTTTCCCCCGATATTTTCCCCCGATCCGCCCCAAACCCGGCTTTCCTCATCCGTCCCCCCGCGCGATGCTGTCGGTGACGTCACGCCCCGTCGCCATGACGACGGCTTGATGTCATGTGGAGGGGTTAAAAAAAACAAAACAACCAAAACCACCCCAGCGGTAAAGGGAGAAAACGCGAGCCCGCCGCTTTGGAATGTTTAACATCGGGAAATCAACTTTCTTTCTTTATGTATTGTTTCTTTTTTTAGGGGGTGATTTATTGAGGCGAAATCATCGAGGCGCGCGAGCCGGCCCCGCCCCCTCGCCCCCCCCATTTCCCGCGCGCGCGCGTCACGAGCCCGCCCCGCCCCGCGCTGAGGCGCCAAACCGCGCGCCAAGCGCTGGCCACGCCCCCTCCGCCAGGCCATTGGTCCTCTCGCGAGATGTCCCGCCCCCTATGATGACGGACAGGCTATGCACCAATGGAAAGTGGATACGCGCTGGGCACGCCCTCTTAGGGCGGGGCTGAGCTGTGACGCGCGGGGCCGGGGTAGCAACAGTTGCCTCGAGACCCGGCGCCCGGCGCCATAGTGACCGTAGCCCTGGAGACTGTTACTTGCCAACGGCGGCAACGCGCGGCCCCGGCGGCCGGAGCCCAGCGCAGCCCGCGGCACCCGGCGGGGACGGCAGGTGAGCGGGGCCGCCCCGTGACGGGCTGGATGTGGGACGGCGGCCGGGGGGGGTGCAGGGGATGTGCGCGGTCTCCGAGTCCTCCGCGGGGTCGGCGCGGCGCGGGCCGGCGGCGCGGACCCCGCTTGTCCCGGCGCGGGATGCGCGGTCCCGCTGCGGACCGGGGCGGGGGGCACCGGTCGCGCCGCCCTCGGAAAGTTGGGAGCGGAGGAGCGGCGGAGACGGCACGGCCGAACCGCCCTGGGCTCCCCTTCCTTCCCCGGGCCGGTGCCGCTGCCCCGGGAGCACCGCCCGCAGCGCGGCCCCGCCCGGACACGGGAACCGGCACCGCCCGGCCGGAGCGGGAGCGGCCCCCGCGGCACCGCCGCTCCCGGCCGGGGCTTCCCGGAACTCCGCGCTCCCGGCTCCCCGGGCTGCGAGCCCAAAGTGCCCGCTCAGGCTCGGGAGGGGGAACGGGGCAGCCGCTCCGCTTTTCGGAGTCGGCACCGCTCCGTGCTGTCCCCGTGGCCTCTCCGTGCTCTCCTTCTCCCCGCGCTGTCCCCGTCCTCCTCTCCCCTCCCCGTGCTGCCCCCGGCCCCCCCGAGCGCTCCTCCTCCTCCTCTTGGGGGGTGGTTTCAACTCCAGCTCATCCCTGGAGTTTGCCTGAGCTGGGAGATCCCGGCGCTCGCTTTCGTGTCGGTCTTAGAAACGAGGGGAAATCGCAGCGAGACCTATTTGCAAGCAACCGCCTTCTGCTCTTGACGTGGTTTCTCCAGCTTGTTTTGAATAAAGTGTGTTTGTGAAACAAGATTCATCTCCTGTTAGAGTGGGATTTTGTGGACGTGCCTGTTTCAAGCGTGAGTTCCCCCTGCCTGATTCAATCTTTCCATTCTTTTTACTTAGATACACTCCGAAGCCTTTATTTTGGCTTTGCTGTTGAAAGAGGCGAGACTTACTAATTAAAAAGCAGAATAAATAATAATTTTATTAACTTTTGTTAAATCTACTGTACCTTTTTGCAGTTGGAATGTCCTTAAACTGAGGCTTTAATTGGTAGGTTAAACTAAGAGCTCAGCTTCGGAATCATTTAATCGAGGGGTTTTTTTTCATCCGCTTCTGCCCAAACTTTTCAGCTCTATCTTGGTTATGAATCATTTGAGAATAGAGTGGCTTAGAAAAAGGAAAAAAATCAGTCTCTAAATACCAACCTTAAGCTGCTGGGCTTCCCTCTCTGCCTCTGCTGTTTCACTTTTCAGTCTGAGTTTGCTTCAGTCAGCTCAGGATCAGTTCGGTCTTAGATTTTATTTTAAAGTGGCACATTTAGTAGAAGGGGAAGCATTTTGGGAGGCCCTTTCATGGTTATCTCATTCAAGACAGGTTGAATCAACCTCAAACTGAGAGAGTTTGGGATGAACAATTTGATTTCTGAGTGGCTGGAATCTACCCCCAAGGCAGGACTTTGTCAGACTTTAGGACCAGCCTGTGGGGTGTTGGATACATGAAAATCTTAATGTTTAAAAAAAAAACAAACCAACACATCCAGCTGGGTCTTTACCTCTCAGTGTCGCTGTCCCAAGGGAGGGGAGATGGATTGGAATTCTGTGAGATGTGTTTGCCTTGGGGTTACACAGCTGTGGGCAGGCTCTGGGGGTTTGTTGTTTGGAGTTGGTGTTGTCAGAGCTGTTCCCATAACCACGAGGTTTGGAACTGCTCATCTTTTTAATCGGAATCTGGGTTCTCAGGTAACAACAGGATCTTGGCCTGAAGGCTGAAAGCTCAGGCAGAAGGGGTTGACAGCTGGAATTTCTTTGTCCCTGCTTGCTTCCTGCAAAACAGGAATGATCCCAGTGCGCTTGGGGATGGGGTCAGGAGCATCCACTGCCACCGAGGAAAGGCAGAGCCAGGTCCCCCACAGCCACCGTGACTCCCACAGACCGTCCCTGCTTTGCATCTCCCTGCTGAGCCATTTGCATCTCATGAATTCCTTGGGGCTCTGTGCCAGCTCTGCTCCTGGGGAGGGGGCTGAGCCCCTGGGGAACCTGCGGTACCTGGAGAGGGGCTGAGCCCTGCACTGCGGCCCTGGCCAGCAGCAGATTTACCCTCTCGGAGTGTTTTGTTGCTTTGCCATAGAAATTTGTAGGATTGCTATAGAAATTTGTAGATTTGGCCTATAAATGGAGTCCTTCACCAAGGGACTCGGCACTGCTCTGAGCCCCCGTGGTGCTGGGAGGGAGGGATGGGTTCGCCCATCCAAAGAGTTAAGGCTGAGCGTGGTCTAGAGAGAGTCGCTGTTAAATCGTGTGTCAGGCATGGGAAGGTTCATCAGAAATACACTTGCTGTGTATTCTGTGTCCTTTTGTGTGTGTAAACACCATCACACCCATCCCTGGAAGTGTCCAAGGCCAGGCTGGACGGGGCTTGGAGCATCCTGGGCTGGTGCAAGGTGTCCCTGCCATGGGACAGGGTGGACCAAGGTGGGATTTCAGCTCCCTTCCAACCCAACCTATTTGGGATTCTTTAATCACTGAGCAGCCAGTGCCTCTGATGACGTCGTTTGTCCTGGCTTCTGGGGGAAATCCTCCAGCTGAGAGTATTCCCTGCCACTAAAAGTCGCTTTGTGCCACGGAATAACTTCGGGGCTGCCACAAACGCGGCTCCATCCCGGCAGAAGAGACGGCGCCAGTCATTGTCTTTAAATATCCCCCTGCTTGTAACACCTCGGAGCACCGACAGCTGCCACGTTTAATCACAACATGTTTTCCCTGCTGATACAGGCCCGTAAACAGAGCTGTTTGAGGAATTGCAGCCCATTTCCCCCGCTCTCTTTTAGCCCTTCCCGAGCTAAAAGCGGAGCCGGGGCTCGCTGCTGATTCAACAGGCGGGTCCCGCCCGCTCGGCTCCTCCGCCGGAGCTGCTGCTGGAGGCTACCGAGTTATATTTAACCCGAGTTGTCCCTCCTTTCCCTGCCTCCCTCGGAACAAATGCCAGCAGTGCAGGGCTGGATCCCGGCCAGCCGGAGCCCAGCGTGCCCCGGCTCGCCCGGACTCGGGGATTGGGATCCGCCGGGATCCGCGATTGCGTTGCCGATATTTGACACTCAGGGAAGGTTTCTCTCTGTAATCTGCGCTTTGAGACGCGTTGTTTTGTCTTATTTGGACTGGCAAGTCTTTATTCCTTTGTTCAAACACTCACAAATCCAGCTTATTGTCTGGGAACGTGCCGGCTTTCCCACGTCGGGATGTGTCTGTCCAAGCAGCTTATGGAGTAATTCTCCATAAATACATAAATGGATGACAAAACCTTCCTTCAGCACAAACCATGAACCCCTTAACTTACTGAGCAAAGAGGAATCCAAGCAGCTTATGGACTAATTATCCATAAATTCATAAATAGATGACAAAACCTTCCTTCAGCACAAACCTTAACTCCCCGAGCAAAGAGGAATCCATTTGGACAGGGCACTTCCCTGAGTGCCTTTTCTTAGCACACAAAACACTGAGGAAATTATTTCAGGGTCATATTAATACACAAATTATTTTCAATTGGGGGGGAAGCAGAAAAAACAAACCCACTTTCAGCTTTGGGTGATGTTTTATAAGATATGGCGATGTTTGCATTTCAGAAATGATTTCAGGACACGTTAATACACAACTTATTTACAAATTGGGGGTGGGGAGGAGAAAAAACAAACTTACTTTCAGCTTTGGGTGATGTTTTATGAAAGATGGCAATTTCTAGAAAGGTTTAAATGTTGTTAATTCAGCTGAGTTGTTAAAACAATACGTAGTTATGTCTAGACATGTGATTTCATGTCAGTGAATGAGAAAATCTTCCTCTTCCCACAGTATTTCTGCTCACTTATGTCACTGCAGGGGTTAGGCAGTGTCTACCCAGCAATAAAGTTAGAAGGTGTATTTTAAATTGCAACAGAAGCGAGAAGTTTCCCAAAGAGAACTTTAGAAACTCTTTTGGTTCCTTGATCTGGTCATAAAATCACAGCAGAACCTTTCCCTGAGATCTGTCCCAACCCCCAGACACAACTTCATGTCATTCCCTCGAGTATTCCCCTGTGTTCCACAGGAGTGAAGAGCTGTAGAAATCCCAAATGAAGCCATTTGAAAAGTCATTTAAAGGCAATTCATAAGTTTGCTTTTTTTTCTGAGTTAGATTTCTATTAGGAATTTTTTTTTTTTTTTCTGAGCTTAATAAATGCCAGAGAAGTCTCAGCATTGTAGAAATGTGTCGTGGGAGGAAACTTTGCAAGAGGTTAATGACTGAACATTGCAGTCAAAGGAACAGGTCACAGAATGCTGCACCAATAATGACTTTTATATAAAGAATATGCAAACAAAAATCAGATGCTTTGATTTCTTGTCCCAAATCTGAAAGAAATCTTCAGTGTCTCTAGCGAGAAGCTGACAGAAATAATAATTATATTGACTGTAGAGATATTCCTCCCTGATGCTGCATTTAGCTCACTGGTGCATATTCCCACCATCCAGATTCCACAAATCTTTTTTTTTTTTTTCCCTGTGTGAAGGGTTTTTCTTTGGCTTCGTGTGCAGAATGTGTGGATGTGTGTGAGGACAAAGAGCAGCAGGTACCTGCGTACAGACTCTGAGGAGGAGCAGCTCAGGCACATCCCTGGCTTCCCTGGCAGGGTGATTCCATGCTCTGACTTCTTCAGGGCATCTCTGATCCTGACAAAGTCTCATCCTGGCAAAGAAAACGTGGGACATGAGCAGGAGCAACACAGAGGTTCAGGGGATGGCAGCGTGTAGCAGCATCTCTGAATCGGGAGCAGGACAAGGGTTGAAACTGAAAGAGAGGAAATTTAGGTTTGATAACTGAAGAAATTCTTCTCTGTCAGGAGGGTGAGCCACAGGTTTTCCACAGAGGATGTTCCTGCCTCCTCCCTGGCAGTGTCCAAGGCCAGGCTGGATGGGGAAGCAGCCTGGGATAGTGGAAGGTGTCCCTGGCCATGGCAGGGGGTGGGATGGGAGGAGCTTTAATGTCCCTTC